AGAGAGAAGCAGGAAGTGAGAGTAAGGGGGTCCAGAGTTGTTGCTCCAGGTCGATGTGGGGTCGTCCTGAGGCAGCAGGGAAACCCGCGTGGCCTGTATGATCTCCATTTGACGATAAAGGGAGACGAGGCGAAAGGTCAACAGGTCAACATCCCTGCAGAGGCAAAAAAAAAAAAAAAAACCTAGTTTGAAACTTCCGTCTTAAACACACACTGAAAATGTTGATTGGAATTATCAGAAAGGTTTCCCTCTACTGGCCAAAAGCACAAATAACCGGCACCAGTCTCAGTCAAACTCATTTGGGTTCAGGGGCCACACAGTCTGATTAAATGTCAGTGGATGTTAAAATGTTAAAAGTCATAAAAGTCATATCATAATTAGCTATAAAAAGCAATTAGTCTATGTTTTTCCCATTTGTTTTTATGCAAAGAAGAATATTAGAAAATATTCATCTTTATAGAAATATTTGAAAAAACATGACTGACATCAAGTGTTTGTGCATTTTTCTTTCCTTTCTAAATTCATCAAACAGGCCGGCGTTAACACCCTAACACCCTAAGGGGGCGCATTTTGGCCCATGGGCTGTATATGAATAGGACTGCTGTCGCTCCCCGCCCCCCGTGTTTATACATTCACAGCAGTTACTGTATAACTCTATCTAACTAGTGGTGTTAAGTTATTTACAAACATTTGCTACGATTTATACACGATGTGACCAGGTCAGGCTCCGTATTTGTTCCAAACGCTTTTTGTTTTTCTAAAGCAATTTGACCAATAATTGCGTCAATCTGTGGCCAGTGTTTGTTTGAATACATAAGTACCCATCAACCCACTGTAACCACCCCCCCCCCACCTCCTGGTTTCAAGAAAACAAGGCAGCATCAGTACAACAACATAACGTGTTTAGGTCCATTATCCAGAAGTACCGGCGGCTTAATGACCAGCGTGTCGGGCGAAGGCACACCTCCGTCAGATACAGCAGCCGTTGGTAATTGCTGCGCTGTTTGGTACAAAAAGAACTGACCTATGGCAAGAAAAACAGATATGTTCCCCATAACCTTTATTTCAGAGAAATAATGAGGAAGGAAGAGCAATTTACGCAGACATTTGCATCCCCGTGCAGAAACCCATTAGGGATCACGTAAGTATTGACAGTAATTGCAGCGTTTTTTAAAAAGCCTCCGACTGTGTACTCTGTGTTGGGTTTTTTTTTTTTTTCTTCTTGCCATAAATGGGCAAAACACAATCTTTAACCACTGGGGATCGTTCCACCACATATTGTATGCATGTACTGCATGATCAAATACTGGTGCCTGTACGTACTTCATAGTATTTGTTCTTGGCTGAACGTTCAATCCTTCAGCTCGAGGTTACGGCCTCAATTGTGGTATGCAAATAGCAGCAGCTGCTGTGCGATGGGAGGCAGCCGCCAGATAAGCACCACCATTTTTTTACTACACGGTATAATAAGTAAATAAAAGCCAAGGACAACCAGCAGATTTGGTATTTACGTGTTTTTTTTACTGCAGCGGCTGCAGAGATCGTCCACGGTTTCCAACGATTACAGAGTGAATGCATGATGGGAGTCTGGAGTGACGACACGTCAGTTGCATTTGCACATTTTCACCTCTGTGTGTCGAACATTTTTAGGTGCCATGATAAAAATAAAGTCAGTTCTTTTTGAGAAGAAACCTCTCTCTGGTATCAAACAGCTCCAAAGAAAGT